ACATCATTCAATGCTTTTTACTTTTGCATTTACTTCTAGATTTATATATTAAGTTGCTCAAGCAAGTGGCAAAACATTTAAACTACTTTTCTTACGTTATCACAAACTTACCATTGACAGAATTAGTCAGCTCTACTGCCTTTCTTTTTGCATTGAAACCTTTATTACAAGCAATCCTGTGGTTCATAAAGAACTTTGTTTTCCTACCTCTACCCTATCATCTATTATTGCCTTCTTTATCTAAAAGTGCTCTTTGCCAACAAGCCATATGTGTTGACTGTGAAAGACAGTATACTTTAATTATATGCATTTATGGTGCAATTGCTACATTTTCGTTTTCATATGTACTGCAAACAATGTGCTGTCACTTTAATTCAGCGCGTGTATCACAGCAAAAATAGACTCGGTGCAGAAACGATCTCTGCACTGCTGCAGACGCACCGCTCCTGAACGCACTGCTGTGTGCAGTGTGAATGCTTTAAGCTGTTAACATGAGCGCGGATTTCCGCACCACATACCACGCACTGCAAACAGAGTAATGTGAACCTGGCATTATGTGTGTGCGCTGCAAGTGTGCATGAGACTGCCTCGATTGTGCAAGTGACAATTCCTGTGTCAACTGTGCAGCATGCAGCTCGCTTATAGATAGACGCGATGTGTGGTGATTTGAAGCCATTTGCGCATTTTGAGAGAGAGAAAGAGAGAGCGCGCGCGGTGATTCACTCAACGCTGTTTGTGAAATTACGTCTCACACAAGGTTTTCAAATTACTTTAAGTTATTTTTAATGAAAATATGAAGGTGAGTACCTCACCTTAAGCATTATAATTATTTCACCCGACGTGATTATCGGCCGATAATGATTGGTAGCCGATCAATCGGAGTACCCCTACTATCTTAAAGTAGTAGCAAAAAAAATGTAGTAATTTGTGTTGTTTTTAATATTCATTAAACAATACCTCTGTTGACTCAAATTTAAAGGGTTTTCTTCTTAATGGGGCGCGGACTGTATGTGGCTGAGTTCTGATTGGTTGAATGTTTTTGTCTAAAGGTGAACGCTGGCAGTAAGGCAGAGACGGCCTCTCTTCAGCCTGGTGACATCATCATGGAGATTAATGGACTCAATACTGGCGAGATGCTCAACGTAGAGGCACAAAACAAAATCAAGAGCTGCACGACTCAGCTGCAACTTCTCGTAGAAAGGTGAGGGTGCCTTTATTTTCTTTATCTACATTGTTTGTCTTTTAGAGATGGATGCAAGTGCATTAGTACCAGTGGTGGAAAGAGTACTGAAAAAATATACTCAAGTAAAAGTACCATTACCTTCCAAAAAATGTAGTGTGAGTAGAGTAAAAGTACTTGTCCAAAAAACTACTTGAGTAAGAGTAAAAGAGTAGCCTATTTAAAAGTACTCACGAGTATTGAGTAGTGAGTACTGAGCTGTGGATTCTACCCCTCATAATAAATGCTGTACACTGCAATTGAGACATTTTAAAAACGTTGTTCATTCTATAATTCACATTATCTTATTTGTCATAAAGAATGAAGAGTATCTATCATCCAGCAGTTTTAATTTTGACTGCCAACTCTTT